AAGATGTATTGCAGCCATACCAGCAGGTGTGTGTCTTGAGCAAGATAGACCAGATCTCTCCAGGTCAGTTTGAATTCAGTATTTTCCTTCTCTTAGACTGATTGCCAATAGGGTTCAGTCTGTTCTACTATTAACCCATAGCTGGAGAAAGAAGAGATGGATTCATACCTTTCACAAGGGTATCTGCAAATAAGTGAATGTAACGAACTTGACTGAAATTCAAACTCTGCTCTCCGATTTCTCCTGTCAAGCTACTATACATTACTTTTTCTTTTCTTTTTTTGACAGTAAGACTCACCCTGTACAAGGCCCGGGAGCAACTCAAGGTAGAGGGTTACATCAGGAGGCAATTTCTGTGGATAGGAGGGGGAGATAACTGTTAACTCTAGACTTGAATAGGTTAAGATTGTAGTGATTGGGGAAACATCCTCTTAAAAGTTGGTTCCACAGAACAACGATTCACAGAAAGAAGCTGTTCAAGTGGAACTTACTTCTCACTAATGGAATACAAAAAGAACATCGATGATTTGCTACAATGTGAGTGGTACGGCAGTTCCTTGATGTGAAGGTTAGACCTGTTAGAACCAAGAAATGTAGTTCGTCCAAGCACTTTCCATGGCAGTAAGCAATAGAGTAGAATTTGGCTCGCCACATCCTGCATGTGAGAGAGAGGTTGAAGGGTGGAAAAGTGAAGACTAGGCACCTCCTGCCCAAATATGACAACAGTATTTTTGGCCTGATCTGGCTCTTGTAAAGGGAGAGGGTAGCATATGGTATCAGGTACTTACTGGATCAGTAACAGAAGCCAATCATTTGACTTGCATCTTTAGTGATGGCTTTTATGTACAAATTTCACACTAACAAGCATTCAAAATAAATAAGTATTTCATTAAATATTACGAATGCCATATATAAATTTTCTTGCATTTTAAGAGATTGTGTCCTCTTATGATGCAAAAACATCAAATTTGTATATTGGCCATAAAACTACCACCTTATCTCATCACAAGAGCCACAGTATTTTCCAGATCTTAATAATGGCCATAAGTATGGTTGAAACTGCCTGATCACAAACATTTGGACAATATTTATATGCACTGGATTCAGACACATGGCCTCTTGTATGTAAAGCAATAAGTAAAATGAAGTAAAAAAGAAAAAAAAGGCTACTATTTTTAGTCAAACTAGATTTCTAAAGAATTAAAGAGTTTATTTATAATTCAATATTTTTATTACTTTAAATTTTGAGTGGGTACTCGTGTTTGAAACGGACACTGTTATTTTGAGTGGGTACCCATGTTTGAAATTGGTCTTGCCTGCTTTAGAAATTACATCTAACGGATCTACAAAAAGGGATGCATGTTCGGTTCCATCCCTGCCAGAGAGCACATTTTCTTCAAGTTTTCTTGAGTGGAATGTGCAGGCTTACAGATGTAATACACACTGTTTAAAAAAAGGAGGGGAGAGAGCATCTATTTCAAACACGGGTAAATAAAATAAAAAATAACATTTAAAGTAATAAGCAAACTATATATATATATATAAAATATGCATACACACACACACTTTCCTCCACCCAGAGTACTTAGTATTAACTTTTATTTTATATTATTCCCCTCACCAAGTACTTTTGAAATATAAATATATATTTATGTTTGCCTATGCATGGAAAAAAAAATTGTGTCCTGAAGATGACAATTCGAAATTGTTGAAAGTACTTGGCCTATATCTTCAACCTGACATCTGCTTGAATATAAGGTTCTTATTATTCAGAGAATTGATAGTAAATTAATCTCTCATTAAGTCTTGTTAGCAAAGTGATTTCGCCATTAATTATATTAACATTGCTATTTAATACTTAAAATAGACTGGATTTATATTTTATATTTAAAATAAATGGGCATTAAAGGTTTTTTAAAACAATTTTGATTAAAATAAAGAGATCTATAACTAAAATAATAAAAAAGTAAAAAAAAATATGGGCTCGATGTAAGGGAACAGAAGAAAATTAAAAAAAGGAAATCTTATAATCTAGAAGTGAAATTAATCTGGATCAATGTATTTCAACAGGTATTTATTTTTTTTCCTACATGAGACAATCAATTCATTTCTCTTGTTTAATAAGTTAGAGTTATTTAAGTGTTTTAAGTGCTAATTTTTTTACAACTCATAAATTACATCTATTGCATTTCTCATTTTAAGATGGTTTTTAGCTATAATATCCCAATATGAAAATATACAAAAAATGCTCTAGGAATTAACCAGTGGCATAATGCAACAGAAGCCATAGAATGGTTTATTAATATATAAAAAGAAAAAAAATGAATGCATGTTCATCCAATTCAATATTTGAGATTTTTACCTATCACTGAAAATCTGTTAATGTCTACCATCAATTTAGTATTACATCAAGTACTATTTTATTAACACCAGCACTCAATATCGTGTGTGTGTGTATATATATATATATATTATGAAATAGACAAAGTCCGACAATTATTTTAAGACATTTTTATGTTTATACATTCTTTTTATAGATACAAATATCATAAAAATGTCTTAAAATAATTGTTGGACTTTGTCCATTTCATAATGTGTGACGTCATTTGTTTACATTTGGATATGCTTTGAGAAAATGTATCCGAGAGATTCATAAAAGATTGAAGTTTAAAGGCAGTAAATTCGACCTTGCTAATTGAACAATCCTCTGTGGCTCGATCAGTTAAGAGCATGTCAGGCTAAGGGATGGTTCCATATAGGCTACCGGTTCAAATCCTGACGGAGGGCGAATATTTTCTATGAAAATTTCTCGGACATTCAGGCTGGTAAACGTTAAAATACTGTTTATTATAAAACAGAGCATTTACTTAAATATTTGTATCTATAAAAGAATGTATAAACATAAAATGTCTAAAAAATATATATATATATATATATATATATATATATATATATATATATATATATGAATGAGAGAGAGATTCATTTAAAATTTGCTCTATTTATAAGGGAAGTGTTTACAGATATAGTATGAAAATCAGTGACTGTCAGTTCCATACCTCAATGCTGAATCAAGTCAGGAGATCACACTGGCCTGTGAAACTGACAGTCACCATATGGTATCGATTCCTATATCCACACTGTGTGGGTGTATATCTATATAATTACTGCAGAACAATATAAAGCTGACTTTTGACTATCTCCCAAAAATTTGAGTAATAATGGCAGATCTGTTTAGGAATAAATAAAAATAAAAACTGTCAATTTCTACATTTCTTATCTTCACACAATGTCCACTGTTCCTAACCTTCATGGCTAAGACCTGCCATGCCACGCCCATTGTAGTGAACCACCCTCATTCCCTTTGTATTTGTAAACTGCTTATTTGTGGAACTCCCAAGATCACTACAATCTTAACCTGTTCAAATCTAGGGTTAAATTTTATCTTCTCCACCTATCCACATAAACTGTACCTTGTAATCTACCTGCTTTGTGGAATTAACTCCCAAGAGGATGCTTTCCCAGTCATGACAAATTAACCTGTTCAAGTCTATGGTTAACTTATCTTCCTCCCATATCTGCATAAATTGTATCCCCCTACTTTGTAAGCCTCTACCATGAGTGGCTCCCAGGCCTTGTATAGTGAACATCATTGTAAAAAAATTACTATTACTATTTATCAGTTTATAAATAATTCCATTGGGAAGGAAGGAAAAAAACAAACAACTTCATCAATCAATGATAAGAAATAAATAAAGTCTCACATGAAATTTCCCAAAAGTCGGAAATATCCTAACTAGTATTTCTAGATCGCAACAGCATATTAGGGAAATGTGATATAATATATTTTAATGTTAATAATGCTTATTGCCTAAACAATAATTCAGTATTATTGTTTAGGCAATAAGCATTATAACAGCACACATTGCTATATTGTCGAAAAAGGAATTTTCAACAATGTACACATTTTTATGTATTTATGGTTATTTTTTAACTTTTATCCAAAATGACATTCTTGTACATGTAGTTATGGATAAGATTATACATTAATTACTAATTTTTTTTTAATTAATAACTATTTGTGCTCAGTTGTTGATATTAATAGCTATCTGCTGATGTGTTAAAATTTTGGAATAATACAATAATAAAAATTTTAATTTCATCTCTCATAGATGTTGAGAGTTTATAACAATTTCTTTTTCTTACCAATAGTTGCAATGTAGAGAATTTAAGGAATGAAAAGAATATATTTTTTTATCTTATTAAAACATTGTTTTGAAACAGCAAAAGTGAATTATAACCATTCCAACAGTCTTTGTTTTAAGAGGTGATTCTCAAACCCAAATGAGAAATTTCATATGTAAGATAAGTTTAAAATAGGAGAGAAAGTGGGGCAGAAATTTCAATCGGTGAAAAAGGTTACTAGATCATTCAAAATGGGGGAGAAATTAAGAAAATTTGGGATCACAAGGGGAGGAATATGTTAGCTGGAGCACTGAGAATGAGATAAAATAAGATCTTATCTGAATATTGACTACAAAAATAAAAATAAAAAAAAAACTTACAGTCCTTTCTTCCATGAATCTGTGTTTGAATTCCTCTATATCAATTTTTCCTGGAGAAACAAAAAAAAATGGAAATAGAATTTCATCATAGTAATTCTTACCTTCACAAAAAATAAAAAAAATATATTAAATAAAAACCCAGAACAAAAGATTTTTTTTGAAAAACATTCAATGAAAGTAAATGAGGAATTTCAATGCATGAAAATGTCTAAAAAATCCTCACGCAACAAAGAAAAAAAAAAACCTTTTTCAAGTTCCATTTGTCAGTTTGCATCAGTTGTATAAATAAAGGAACTAAAAATGACATGGAAATATTTTGAGGTTGAAATTTTTCAAGACTTTTCAGAATGAAGATAAAAACATTTATAGTGAATTGGGCAGGTGGAGTGTCATAAAAGGAAAGCAAAAGTGAGGGTAAGTATGAGGATAAGAATTTCAATAGAGGAAGAGTAAGGATGAGTAAAAGAATTTCAATGCAGAAACAGTAAGGAGGAATAGAAGAATAAAAAAAAGGAGGGAGAGTAAGGATGAGCAGAAGAATAAAAAGGAGGATAGAGGGAGAGTGAAAATGAGGACAAGAATAACAAAGCTGGATGGAGAGAGAGGGTGAGGATGAAGACGAATAAAAAATGCGGATGGAGAGAGGGTGAGGATGAAGACGAATAAAAAAAGGAGGATGGTGAGAGGGTGAGAATGAAGACGAATAAAAAATGGCGGATGGAGAGAGGGTGAGGATGAAGACAAGAATAAAAAAAAAGAGGATGAAGAGAGGGTGATGATAAAGACGAATAAAAAAAAAGGCGGATGGAAAGAGGGTGAAGATGAAGACAAGAATAAAAATGGCGGATGGAGAGAGGGTGAAGATGAAGACAAGAATAACAAAGGAAAGAGGAGAGAAGGTGAAGATGTAAAGAAGTATAACAGAGGAGGATGAGGACAAGAGTAACAAAGGAAAAAGGAGAGAGAGTATGATCGAGCAGAAGAACATTGGGAGGGTAAATATAACAAAGTAGGATGGTGGAAGGCTTATGATGAAGATGAGGGAAAGGATGAAGCAAGAATAACAAAGGAGGGAGGGATGGTAGAGTGAGGAAAACAATAAAACAGGGAAGGTTCAAGAGAGAGAGATAGTAAAAGAGGAAATAAACCAGTCACCAACCTTCAAGAAAGTCTTCTGCAATCTGTTCAGACTTTTCTTCCGATTCCATCACAGCCACTTTGATGTTACTTTGAATACTTGTCGGGTGGAATTGGTCGGACAAACTCATGTGGCGTTCACTCTCTTCTTCAAATTCATTTTGTAAAACTTCCAATTCATCCAACTAAAAAGTCAATCGAACAATAATAACATTTAAGAACATCTGGGCATTCAGTCTTTACTTTTCAAAAACAGAAGGATGTCAATCATTGCATACACCATCTCTCTCTCTCTCACACACACATATATATACATTTGCTTAATAATAAAAAAGAAAAAGCCAATATTCAATAATATTAACTATGAACATGGCCAAAATGCACTGTGTTCAGAAAATAAAACATCCCTATAACTGTAAAAACATACACACAACCCATATACCCAGTTAAAAAGCCAAAATAAAATTATCCTTGATAATAGCTAGAAGTACAACTGAAAGTGCTCAGAATTATAGAACATTTGGGCAGTTTATACACACACTGTCCAGAAACGAAAGCACTTGTTTGAACACAAGAAAAATTAAATAAAAAGCTTCATTGCAATACCTTGTCTGTCATCTTTAATGTATAAATGAAGGATTGCTGCCTAAATACACAATCATATATATATATATATATAATTATTTTAATAAAAAAATTTATAACATAAGTATGTTATAAAATCACTGAAAATAGCCATTTTGTTCAACACACTCTGTGTCTTATCTGATGGTGTTGAAAAGAAAATCTTTTCAACACCATCTTGATAAGACACAGAGTGTGTTGAAACAAATAATATTTTAGTTTTTTAACATAATTTTAAATTTTTTTAAAATAATTATAATGCCTACTTTTGTATTGAGCACTCTTTTAAGAATAGTAATTGTTGGTTATTGGAATTCATTCCGTGTATACCAATTATATATTTGATATATATATATTACTTCAAGCATTACTTTTAGTGGATACCCATATTTGAGTAGACAATCCATTTGTTAAATACTGTTTATTTTGTCTAGTGGCCTGTGCACTTGAAAAAAGTGCCTTCTGACATGGTTTTCTTTATTACATTTTCAAATATGAAAATAATATTTGAAGTAATATAAATGTCAGATTAAAAATAAAATCCATTACTTTGTGTGTGTGTATATATATATATATATATATATATATATATATATATATATATACACAGAGAGAGAGAGATTGTATTTAACAGTGATCCTTGTACCTCAGTATTGGTCTGCCTAGTGGTCTGTTACCGTGCTCTAATTCATTGAAGAAGATTGCTTTGGGGAATTCTTGAGTCTTCCATCTAATATACATGCCCCACCCAATGAAGCTGTGCCTTGATTATCTGGCTTTCTAGGCTGGGTACAACACATCGTTCTACGATGATCGGCATTGGAGATTTTATCCTGCCATTTAATTCTGCAGACCAAAACTGAGGTACAAGGACAATCTCAAGAGATGTGGCATCAGCCTTGATAGCTGAGAAAGTACTACCCAAGTTCATGCAACCTGGAGGAGAATTGCAAAGAGGGTATCGATGTCTTTGAGAACAGGTGTACTAGTCTCCTCATTGAGAAACGTGCCAACAGGAAGACCAACAATAGCACTCAGAACCCACTTTATCAATGCAGTACCTGCAATAGGGCTTGTGGCTCTAGAATTGAACTCTACTCTCACGAAAAGACTCATTGGCAATGTGCTGATAGAATACTCATGCATTGGCTCATAAGCAAGAATCATATATATATATATATATATATATATATATATATATATATATATATATTTAAATGTGTGTATTTAGGCAGCAAATTCTCTTTTAGGCACATCTGATTGAATAAATTACACACAATATATCTGGTAATTTTTTAATAAAATCTGTTCATACTCACAAATAACCTTGTGAGTATTGATGTTAAAGGATGAGAGAAATGTGCTATAGCTGTTTAAATTTCTTTTATTTTCATTTATCTTTTTCAAAGATCATCTTCAGGGGTACAAGTAATACAAAACTATATGTGTTCATTAGTATAAGTATTTATACAAAGTTTTGCATTGTTATCCAATACCGTAATTTTTTCATTATGCTTTTAAATGTAAAATGGTTGACAATGTGCTGAGCATCCATTAGAATGTAAAAAAAAATTAAACATTATGGAATTTTATATATATATATATATATATATATATATATATATATATATATATATATATATTATACAGTGCAAATATATTGAAAAATAGGAAAGAACTGTTAGGTTAATAATCCAAAGTTCTTTAGTATTTTTGTTTTTATTTTTAAAAAACAGTGCTGAATACACAAGTAGAGCCTATATTATAATTATTTTTCTAAAAATATGATTCCATTGCTACATAGGAATTACCATGTTTCAAAAACAGAAGCTAAAAACTTCCAATTCAATTATAGAAATTAAATTAAAGTACCTAGTTCTGTTTCATCCTCAAGCAAATTTTGGAATGACTAATTTTGAAATTTACGGAGCTTTATAAGCATATGCATCCGTAATATTAGTTTCTATGGATATGAATAAAACCAATTATTTTAATAAGGGTGGCAGGGTATTCATTTTGACAATTATTGTATCAATATATTAGTTACTTTCAAAAAGAGGTTAAATCAAGGTAGGGTCGGGATGTCTTTTTTCAACAACTGAAAGTTTTTGGCATTTTTGTTATGCCGTTAAATTTAATGACATAACAACAATGCCAAAACCTTTCTGTTGTTGAAAAAGACCGGATGATATGCGTTGAATGGATGTCACCATTTATTTGAAAAAAGGCACCCTGACCCTACCTTGAAATAGATGACCCCATTATTATTTTTTTAAAACAGTGTGTATTATGTGCACTAGAAAAAAACTTCATAAATAAAATATTCTCTTTGACAGGATTCAAATTAGCCGATGCAAGAAAACCAAAATTTTTAAATATTCTAAAAAAGATTAAAAATATAATTTAATAATCATAAAAATCATTTCCTGTTAATAATAACAAAGATTTTGACTTTGTTTTTATTAATTTTGTACTCATTTTTTAGCTAATTTTTGGAGGTATAATTTTTTTTTATTTTTATTACAGTGAGGTTCACCCTTTATAAGGCCTGGGGGCCACTCAAAATAGAGTGTTATGTTTGGAGGCCATTTGTGTGTATAGGAGTGGAAAACAAGGGTTAACTTGAGCCTTGAACAGGTTAAGATTGTAGTGATCAGGGAAACATCCTGTTGAGAGTCGCTTCCACAGTGCAGTGGTTCGCAGGAAAAAGTTACTTGAGTGGAACCTACTATTCACTGATGGGATACGGAGGCAATGTGGGTGGTTCACTACTATGTAAGTGGCAAGGCGTGTTCTTGCTGTGAAGATTTGCCTCAGCAGGACCAGGGAGTGTAGTTTGTCTGAGCACGTTCTGTAGAAGTAGGGATAGAGTAGTGAGAGAATTGCCACATCCCACCTGTGGGAGAGGGGTTGAAGGGTGGAGAATAGCTCGTCACCCACAAGGGCTCAGAGAGGCTTTTGAACTCAACCAAGGGTGGAGAGTGAGGTTTGGGCAGCTCCCACCCAAATATGACAGCACTACTCCATTTTGGGCCTGATCTGGCTCTTGTAAAGGTAGAGGATAGCAGGAGGAGTCTGGTACTTACTGGAGTGGTACAGAGAGCCAACCACTTTAACTGAATCCTTAGCAATGGATCAAATGAACAAGTTCCACTTGAGGTCAGGCATGAATTTAACGCCCAACAGTCTTTCAAGGCATGGTGCTGCTGTGAGAGGACCTACATTCATCAAGATTGGTGGTAGTTTGAGGTCAGATTGGTGATGATGGAATCTAACTAGCTTGGTCTTCAAGGCATTGAATGTAACCAGCCAGTCTTTACCCCATTGGGTAGTTTGAGCAAGATCGGAAGAGAGATCAGTCGCCAAACTCTGACCATTGAGAATTTTAGAGGTGCACACATATACAGTTATATTACTGGCATAGATGTTTACAAATGATCTGAGTATATTCTTAGGTAGATCCTTTATGTAGATTAAAAAGAAGGTTGGTTTGAGGACTGACCCCTGGGGGACACCTGTGTTGACCTCTAGAGCTCCAGAGGATTGGCCATTAATAAGTACCTGCAGGGACCTACCTGTTTGGAAGGATTCTATGATCCAGAAGAGCCTTCCAGTGATTCCATAAGTGGATAGCTTGTGTACTAAGACTTTGTGCCACACCTTGTAGAAGGTCATTGATATATCTAGTGCAATGGTCCTTGAAGTGTGTTTATTGTTGAGAGCCCCACTGATTCTGTGAGCGATGGCAGTTATATATATATATATATATATATATATATATATATATATATCAGACAAATAGTGGGTAAGTGAATGACTAAATGGGGGGAAGGTATGTTTTGTTCTAAGAAAGATATCTGAGCAAGATGTGTCATAAGTTTTTTTTTCATTCACTTATACACACTTTTTTTTAAGGTGTGTGCAAAAATTTTTAAAAAGGAAAAATAAAAGAAACATCAAGAGAACCTTTCACGATCATGATTCCTATAATCCATTAGGGTCTAAGGGGGCACCACATCTACTTCAGCAAAAGTATCAGTGTTGTCTTGGGCAATACAGCCTGATGGAGCCTCTCCAGGCTAGTTTGAATTCAGAGTTGTCCTTCTCCTAGACTGGTTGCTAACCAAGGCTATAGGATTTAGTTCTGCTATTTACCTATATCTGGAGGGAAGAGAGATTGGTTCATAATTCTTCCAAAGATATTAGTATGTAATTGAACTTGGCACTATGATTCCTCATTTTGAGATGCTGTCCATTACTGTATCATATCACATTTACACATACTTAAAATTGTAATAGTGATAATAAGAAGAAGAAGAACAGAGATGAAATCTGTCTTTCTTCAGTAAACGTACCTTTTTTAGTAAGGATTTCTTCAGTTGTTCAGTAATTGGCCTTTTCTTCAAATTGTCTTCTGCAAAAAAAACAAACAAAATGTTTTAGAATATAAACTATCAATGGCTACATGAGTCATATAATCTATTCATCCCTTTTGGGTTGAAAGGTTAAAAAATAAAAATTACCCCTATGTTACCCTCTAAGCAACTAACAAGTTAAAAATGTAATGCTGTTTTGATGATGCATTTTTCTGTATGTCACTGCACAAGCTGTGATGACATCCAATGTAGGCAGTGTGCGAATACACCAGTGTTTGTTATGTTTCACAGATTTGTTTCAATATTAGGGCTGTGATCAACAAAGAATAACGACAAATGCTTTACCAGACGCTTGTTTGGTTGGGAAATAGCAAAAAAAAAAAATAAATAAAAAAATAAGATTTCTCGCTTAATCGGCAATATCTTCCTTCTACTTAAAGAAAGCAGACTACTTTTTTTTTACCTGACTTCTCAATAAGTTCTGGCCACAGAAAACAGACTCCTACACACTCACTGCCTGACTGTTTCAGTCACTGCCTGATCATTTCTCACTGCCCGATTCATTATATGGATACTGGCTGGGGGATCCACAACCCTTTTCCGTTCACTCGTGTTCCACCAAATAGAAAGGGGAAACACCCAGACAGCTTTTGAGCAGTCACTTTTTTCAAAGGGCCCTACCTTTATGACTATCTAAAATCACTAACAAATTTTTATGCTTGCCAATTCAAAGGTGGGCAGAAGACAGGATTCCTGCAAAATCCTGGTCATTAAATTTACTTAAAGATGGGCTGGAGACGAGATTCCTGAGAGATGCTGGTCATTAAATTGACTTAAAAGGAAAAATAATCTATCTATTCATCTCCTAAGGGTGTGTGAGAAATCATATTGATACACTGTTAATGATGATCAGAAAAATTTAAGAATTTAGAATTTTTTCCAGCAAACTGTTTATGTAAGCTGTGATATCATGGGTAGGATTTCTTCTTCTATGTGCCATTTCCCTTCAGGAGGTTGGTGATCATGGTGCTCTTAGTAAATTTTGTCTTTTTGCTATCTCTCCTAATTTTTGTTCTGACAACCATTTACACAAGTTTGTTAGGTAGATTATGCACTGTCTTCCTCTGTACCTCTTGCCTTCAATATGCCCTGTGAGTGTCAAATTTTCTAAGTCCTCATTAAGTACCCTAGAAATTTCAACTGTTTCTGATAATAATTGTAAGTGACTTTTTTGTTTCCATTTTCTCTAAAACTGTCATAAATCACATGTGTATAGCATTCTCAGCATCCTTCTGCAGAATCACATTTCTCTTGCCTCAGGTCTTTTCTTTATCTGTGATGAGATTGCCCAGCATTCACTTTCATATAGGAGGATTGATATTATATAACAGGTCAGTATTCTTTTCTTTGTTTCTAATAAATTTTTACTGTTTCTTAATACTTTGCTTAGCTTTTGTAAGGTATTTTTTGTTATACCAGATTTCAGTGTCACACTTTTCATCCTATTAAAATACTTCCCAGATATTCAAATAGTTGCTTCACTTTGGCATTCCCAATTTGTAATTTTCATGTTGGGTTGTTCTTTTTGCTGACAACAATACATTCCTGTCTTCTTAGAATTGATGTTTAGTCCTTTCTTCTTGCTTTCCATCATTACCTTCTATAGACGTTCTTCTAATTTCTTTCCTGTGTCTGTTATCAACACTGTGTCATCTGCATATCTTATGTCATTAAGATTATGGCCACCAGTAATGAATCCTGGTAGGAATTCTAATTCTTTTAGAATTGCCTCATTGTAAAGGCTGAATAGGTCTGATGAGAAGACCCATCCTGGTCTTACACACCTTTCTATTTTTGTATATTTACTGAATTCATTTTTCTATCCATATTGAGACAGTTTACTCCCAGTACTTTTTTTTTTACCCCATGCAAGACAATAAAGCCCCTAAGACATAAGGTGTTACTGGGTGTGGTAGATAGCAATTGACACTGCATTTTATTTTTCTTTATAAGTTCTGGATTGTTCCAATATCAAGGTTACCTAATGCTTGAAACTGTTCTTTGTGACATACTTTATCAAACGCTTTTGCATAGTGACAGAACAAATGTTAAAAGAGGAAGTATAGAATATTGATGCCAAAAATTCCATTGTAAATTTAGCATGGGAAAGAGAGACTGAGTTTCAAAAGTCAATTAGTATTTAATATTTCTCCCCCTGTTTTGCATCAAAACTAATAAAACATTAAATCAAGAGGATGTTTCTAATAAGATAAAATTTTATCTTGACAAGAATTTGTCATAAATCAAAAAAAAGGTTTCATGTCATTGCAGATGTCAGAATAAAAATCTCCAGCAGAAAGAGAAACATGTAAAAAAGGAATTTGAGGAATTAATGAAACTTAGAAAAGAAGTTTCAGTAGAAGATTAGGAATGATTGCAAGCATTAAAAACAGAATGGGGGCTAATGGAAATGCATTTGCTAATGATTTTACTATGAAAATGTATTGAAAATCAGGAAGAAAGGGATTGTCAGTGGTCAAGAATTAATGCAAGCATAACTGATAGAATAGGGCTATTATATGTATAATGTAAATGCATTGTTAATGATTTTACTATAGGAATGCATTGCAAATGAAAAAGAAAGGGATTGTCAGTGGTCAGGAATGAATGCAAGCATTACTAATAGAATAGGGCTATTATATGTATAATGGAAATGATTTTATTATAGGAATGCTTTGGAAATGAGGAAGAAAGAGATTGTCAATGGTCAGGAATGATTGTGAGCATTACTGATACTATAGAATAAGTATATATAATAGAAATGCATTGCTAATGATTTTATTGTAGAAATGCACTGAAAATGAGGAAAAAAGGGATTGTCAGTGGTCAGGAGTGAAGACAAAAATGGCTGATAGAATAGGGTTAATTCTGTGTTGAATTAAAAATAATTGGAAAGAAGTTCTTTAATAAATATCTTCAATTATTACCTGCTAAATTTATACAATCGGCAGACATCTGCACTCTCTCTTTCTCAATTTTAATAACTTCCGGCATTTTCTGTAACATCTCAAACAACTTATCGTCGTCGTTCATCAGTTCATTTAATTCGGCTATGCTGTAATTAAATAAATATTAACAACTCACATCAACAGAAAGTGACAAACAAGGATTTAAGCAAAGCTGCTTAACTATCAGACAAGGATTAGCAAAGATTGACTTATACACATTTTTTTTTTTTTTTTTTTTTAATCAATATAAAAGCAAGGCAATAATGCCACTATGACACAATGGTTACTGGGAGTGAAAGAGAATTTATTGAATTGTTTACATATTTGTGTAGACATAATTACTAGAGGCGGTGATATGTGTGTTTTATGTTGTAGTTTTGTTGAAGTTATATTTTGGAATACAGTTTGATTTCTTTAAGATATTGTAGGATATTATATGGATTAATGTCATGAAAGACTTCTTTCATGTTGGTTGTTTGGTTGGTTGATTTTGTTTTGAAGCACATCAACATCTATGGGCTATCCAATGCCAAAATCTAAAACACTTTGAACACTATAGCTTCAACTACAAAGAAAATGCATTGTTGGTACTTTCACCATAAAAACATATTTCTACACATTCATAGTGTTTTGTTTTTGCTTGCAGGGGAGTTCACTATTTACCCATAGCTGGGACCCTAACAGGTGCTACAACCCCAGCAATTAAGAGGTGGTTCCACACTCCTCAATACCTCCATTCCCCTGATCAGAAGCCCCATTGCCAAATGTTTATCATGAGTGAAAGAAAATGTGAAGACTAAAAGGAACCAGAAACCCAATCCTATTTCAAACACAGCTATCCACTCAAAATAACAGCGTCTGTTTCAAGCACGGGTACCCGCTCAAAATAACAGCGTCTAGTCTCAAGCACGGGTACCCGCTCAAAATAACAGCGTCTAGTCTCAAGCACGGGTACCCGCTCAAAATAACAGCGTCTAGTCTCAAGCACAGGTACCCGCTCAAAATAACAGCGTCTGTTTCAAACACAGGTACCCACTCAAAATAACAGCGTCTGTTTCAAACACAGGTACCCACTCAAAATAACAGCATCTGTTTCAAGCACGGATATCCATTAAAAATTTGAAGTAATAAAAATATTGAATTAAAAATAAACTCTTTAATTCTTTAGAAATCTAGTTTGATTAAAAATAGTAGCCTTTTTTTCTTTTTTACTTCAGTTAGCTTTTTGCTTTACATACAAGAGGCCATGTGTCTGAATCCAGTGCATATAAATATTGTCCAAATGTTTGTGATCAGGTATTTTCAACCATACTTATGGCTATTATTAAGATCTGGAAAATACTGTGGCTCTTGTAATGAGATAAGGTGGTAGTTTTATGGTCACTATACAAATTTGATGTTTTTGCATCATAAGAGCACACAATCTCTTAAAATGCAAGAAAATTTATATATGGCATTCGTAATATTTAATTAAATACTATCTAATATTTATTTTGAAGACGTGCTAGGGTAGAACTTGTATATACGAGCCCTGCAGTTAAAATCATTGGCCCCCATTACTGCTCCAGCAAGTATCTGACACCACATGGTAAGTAGGTATACTAGCGAATGATCGTATACAAATACATATAAATACTCTATAGCAGGGGTCGGCAACCTTTTGCTAACTTTGTGGTCGACTTAGGGTTTTAAAATCATTCAGTGTGCCAACAGCATACGTATTTTTATACAAGTCAAGGTCAATATACCTGTTCTACAATATAATTTAAATAGTATCTATACTTTAGTATATATTAAAATTGAAATAGCTAAATATCTTCTCGATGTAAAATAACAAAGTTATTTAATATATATATATATATATATATATATATATATATATATATATATATATATATATATATATATAATTAAGAAATATACATAATATTTACATTAAAAAATATTGTGTGTGTGTATATAACTAAATCTGTAGTCAGTTTGATTCTCACTGGATAACCCATATCAACTTAGTAAATATCAACAAGGCTTCAAAATTACCTATATATCACTGATTAAGCCCAAAACTAAAAATGGTAAAAGGACAAAAAAAAAAGAAAAAAAAAAAAAGAAAAGAAAGTTTGACCAACCTCCCAAATTTGAACCACATGAGCAAACATTAGAAGGCTTCATATTGAGCTAAGTACTTTTCAGTACTCTCTAGTGTGTAAATATATTTCTCTACACTTGTAGGTAGAAGAGTAAGTCAATAAGCTAACAAATTTATCAATATAATTTCCTTCCTTGTAAGTGGATTTCAGTCAGTGATAAATGATAATGCAACACAATTAACAACATGAACGACTGATCATTCTTGAAGAATTTTCTTTTACCTTTTATTTTTCAGTGAAGGAAATGAAGCTGGTAAGTCTGGCATCTTGTAGCCACTGAAGAACTAGGTGAAAGAGAGAGCGAAAAAAAAATTAAGCAGATTTTAAGAAAAGAAAAATTATATTGAAAATTACTAAGATGCAACCACAAAACACTGCCAAGCACTCAGCAGAGACAAACTCTTTCCTATCATGGTTACAAAAAGAAACATGTACAATGGGTACTCGGACATTTGGTCGGGGGCCATTCCACCAAAAAATATAGTGGCATACTTACATGTATGTCACACTCTTTATCGTAATGTGCGACATATATTTATATTTATTTACTGTATTAATTTATAATTTTTTGTTTTTTTGGGGTTTTTTTTTTTACAAGCTTTTTTTTAAATCTATTTTGTAGGTATTATATTTTACTTCAAATATTACTGTAAGTATTTTGAGAAAAAGCATATTTTAATACAGCAAAAATCTTAAGCTTTTCAGATGAAAGATTTTTCAATTTCTCTTTTAATGATCATTATCTTAAAGGGATGAACTAGCTTTTATCTTACAGTTAAATATGAATGTCAATAATTAGGTGTTACTTTTTACCCAAATACACTCAAATATTTTTTTAAATAATAATTTCAATAAACAAATATTGAAATAAGAAAACTTTTAACTTTAAATTTAGATTTAGTAATTTAATCACTTGAAATTCAGTGGTAATTATTAGTCCTTTCTACCTTATAATACTACTAATTAAAATACTCAAAGTATTGCTTGGTACTATTTTTACTTGTACTTTTTTGGTGAAATGCCTGTCGGCCAAATGTCCAGACACAGTACAATGTCACAACAATTATGAAACAGAGATAGTAAAAAAATAATAATCTTATCCTATAGTAATAATTATCCCAAAATGGTTGTATTTGAAAATAAAAATAAATTCAATGAAAATTAAATAGTTTATTAATTCAGTGCTCAGAGTAATTAATTTTGAGAAATATTTAAATAATTTACATGTAAGCATATTTGAGGCAAATTTTAAATTCTTTAAATTCTTTTTAAATGACAGTTATGTTGCAAGATATACATTGTAAATTGCTATTTTCAGTAACATTTACAAATTTGGGGTTTTACCTGAGGTGTTCCCACATGTGGTTGACATTATCTGTTACATATACACAGCAGATACAATTGAAAAAGAAAAAAATGAATAACTTTGAAATGTTCATTTTTACATAGCTTTTGTTATCTAAAAACATTTTGACTACAAAGTTGTTGATATTGTTGCCAATAATCATAACATTCGATGAGCATTGTTCCTTAGTTCTACCAGGTCAAATGTTTAGACCCAAGGTCTGTCACGTCACGTACACAGAGTCGAATCTACATCATTCCTTTCGTATTTCTTTGGTAAGAAGGAAATTCCATTC